CCCTATCTTCTGGGCCGGCCTGTTACAGTCTCATTGTCACAGGTCGGCTAGAACTATGAGGTGAGTGAAAAGCACGCCCCCCCCCCTCATAGTTCTCCTTCAACAATCACGGGTGGCGCCGCACACAGCAGTCAATAAAGGATAGAAATCGCCGGCACTCAGCAAATGAAATTCAAAAAATGTCCATTTATTTGGACTAAACGTCACGCATATCGCATAATCCAACGTTTCGGGACCACGCAGGGTCCCTTCATCAGGGCAGGGATGTGACCAGGAAGGAGGATGGAACATTCCGGGAGATGTGAAACCCAAGTCTCATATAAGCATCACCCTATTGAGGACACAGTGACCCTATTCCCATGCTCGTGCCTCTGAAATTGCGGGGACTCCGCTTTCTTTGTTTGGCTATTACCCGATAAAACCATTGACCCGAAACATTCCAACAACTCGGCACTCACCAGTCCTTCACTCGGCATGATGTTCGTGAGATGGACGACTTCCAAATGGGCCGACTGAGACACCAGCGAATCGGATGAGAGGGAAATAATGTGGTCGCAGATCCCAGACAGAGTTTTACACTGGAAAAGAGTCGCAGGGAAACAATGTTACAATTGTTCTTTACGCTACAAAACAGAAGATTGTGGAGGACAACATTGTATCAACATTGGGTAACCAGAAGATGTACAGACATAGGGGGAACTGACGACCAGGCACAGCCCATGCAGTAATTGTTGGGTCATGATGGAACCCTCCTGTAGTGAGAGGGTCGCAGGTGGCCAATCCTGATCTGCTGAAGACAATACAGGTGAAACTCGAATAATTAGAATATCGTGCAAAAGTAATTGCAGTAAGTGCTGCAAAAGGGGCCCAAACCAAGTACTGAGTACATATGCATGCTGGTACTTTTCAGAGGTCCGATATTGTTCTATGTACAATCCTTGTTTTATTGATTGCATGTAATAATCTACTTTTCTGAGGTTGTGGATTTGGGGTTCTTGGGGTTTTTATGAGCTGTAAGCCATAATCATCACAATGATGACAAATCACGGCTTGAACTATCTTGCTTTGCATGTAATGAGTCTCTCTCATATATTAGTTTCACCGCATAAGTTGCATTAGTGAAATAAATTAACTTTGCACGATATTCTAATTATTCCAGTTTCACCTGTATTGATAATACCGCAGGGGATGACTGGCCTGGGGAGCAGGGGGGCATTTGGCAGTGTAGACACTTCACCATTCAGAGATCAATCAGATTGGTGCCTGCAGTCGGTGGCATTTGCTGGCCACTATATCTACTTACTCCCCTTTATGACATACCATCTCAATGTCTGATAGAGGGAAGTCTTCCGGCATCACCTTTCTTTGCAGCATTGAGATGTCATGTGATTGAATGCCAGGAAAGGAAACCATGCCTTTCACAATGCCCAACAACCCTTGTGGCACCATGGCACACTTTGCAGGGTACACCATCTTTAGCTCACAGACATCTGTCCCTTCCACGAAAGGACGGGTTGGTTGTGTTTGCCCAACAGGGTCAAATGTTCCCCATACTCCCTTGGAACTGTAAACTGCAGTCAATACATTCTAATAAGACCACATAGTGATCCCTAAATTTACAGTCAGCTAGGGTCCTTCTTTCTAGAACCAAACATTATCTCTTGGTGTGCAGTTCCTTCTCCCCGGTGTGCAGATGGCTCCTATGAACCCTTGACCCGTGACTTGGGAGAGTCCTGCAGTGAGACCCATACCAGGTGGTCACTGAGGGCCCACACTGACACAATAGTGATACAGAGGGTCCACATACACCCATAACACGTGGCACCTTCTCCCTGTTGAATCGTCTGTGTCTGATATTATGGTGATGGAAACTAAACTCAAGATGAATCTAAATAAAGATCCAGAAAGGAAGGGGACCCGTCAGGAGATAAGAATTCATTTGCACCGTATTTTGGGATAACAATAATAGAGAAACAGTTGAAACATAAATATTAGTAAATTATACTTCTATTATGATAATTATTATACCTGTGACCCATGTCAATTCCCAGAGCTCCTCACCTCTCAACATCCAATCAGATTTTCATCCTCCATTAAAGTATGAAGTTATTATTATTATTATACAGGATTTATATAGCGCCAACAGTTTGCGCAGCGCTGTACAATACAGGGAAGACATTACAATCACAATACAATTCAAAACAAGATGGTAAGGAGGGCCCTGCCCCTGAGGGCTTACAATCTAAAAGGGAGGGGCCAGTGATACATGAGGAGGGAGCTGTGTAGGGATGAATTGTTTGAGAACGGAGAACGTGATGGTTGAGCGGTTAGGTGGAGGTGGGATAGGCTTCCCTGAAGAGATGAGTCTTTATGGATGGGCAGTCCAGGTGGAAGATAGACAGACAGGTTGGGGTAAAGAGTTCCAGAAGATGGGAGAGACTCTAGTGAAGTCCTGGAGGCGAGCATGGGAGGAGTTGACAAGTGAGCTTGAATACAGGAGGTCTTGGGAGGGGCGGAGCGGACGGTTAGGGTGATACTTTGAGACGAGGTTGGAGATATAGACGGGGGCAGAGTTGAGGATGGCTTTGCAAGTCGTTGTTGATATTTTGACTTGTATCCTTTGGGCTATTGGAAGCCAGTGCAGGGATTGGAATTACCCGATAAAACCATTGACCCGAAACATTCCAACAACTCGGCACTCACCAGTCCTTCACTCGGCATGATGTTCGTGAGATGGACAACTTCCAAATGGGCCGACTGAGACACCAGCGAATCGGATGAGAGGGAAATAATGTGGTCGCAGATCCCAGACAGAGTTTTACACTGGAAAAGAGTCGCAGGGAAACAATGTTACAATTGTTCTTTACGCTACAAAACAGAAGATTGTGGAGGACAACATTGTATCAACATTGGGTAACCAGAAGATGTACAGACATAGGGGGAACTGACGACCAGGCACAGCCCATGCAGTAATTGTTGGGTCATGATGGAACCCTCCTGTAGTGAGAGGGTCGCAGGTGGCCAATCCTGATCTGCTGAAGACAATACAGGTGAAACTCGAATAATTAGAATATCGTGCAAAAGTAATTGCAGTAAGTGCTGCAAAAGGGGCCCAAACCAAGTACTGAGTACATATGCATGCTGGTACTTTTCAGAGGTCCGATATTGTTCTATGTACAATCCTTGTTTTATTGATTGCATGTAATAATCTACTTTTCTGAGGTTGTGGATTTGGGGTTCTTGGGGTTTTTATGAGCTGTAAGCCATAATCATCACAATGATGACAAATCACGGCTTGAACTATCTTGCTTTGCATGTAATGAGTCTCTCTCATATATTAGTTTCACCGCATAAGTTGCATTAGTGAAATAAATTAACTTTGCACGATATTCTAATTATTCCAGTTTCACCTGTATTGATAATACCGCAGGGGATGACTGGCCTGGGGAGCAGGGGGGCATTTGGCAGTGTAGACACTTCACCATTCAGAGATCAATCAGATTGGTGCCTGCAGTCGGTGGCATTTGCTGGCCACTATATCTACTTACTCCCCTTTATGACATACCATCTCAATGTCTGATAGAGGGAAGTCTTCCGGCATCACCTTTCTTTGCAGCATTGAGATGTCATGTGATTGAATGCCAGGAAAGGAAACCATGCCTTTCACAATGCCCAACAACCCTTGTGGCACCATGGCACACTTTGCAGGGTACACCATCTTTAGCTCACAGACATCTGTCCCTTCCACGAAAGGACGGGTTGGTTGTGTTTGCCCAACAGGGTCAAATGTTCCCCATACTCCCTTGGAACTGTAAACTGCAGTCAATACATTCTAATAAGACCACATAGTGATCCCTAAATTTACAGTCAGCTAGGGTCCTTCTTTCTAGAACCAAACATTATCTCTTGGTGTGCAGTTCCTTCTCCCCGGTGTGCAGATGGCTCCTATGAACCCTTGACCCGTGACTTGGGAGAGTCCTGCAGTGAGACCCATACCAGGTGGTCACTGAGGGCCCACACTGACACAATAGTGATACAGAGGGTCCACATACACCCATAACACGTGGCACCTTCTCCCTGTTGAATCGTCTGTGTCTGATATTATGGTGATGGAAACTAAACTCAAGATGAATCTAAATAAAGATCCAGAAAGGAAGGGGACCCGTCAGGAGATAAGAATTCATTTGCACCGTATTTTGGGATAACAATAATAGAGAAACAGTTGAAACATAAATATTAGTAAATTATACTTCTATTATGATAATTATTATACCTGTGACCCATGTCAATTCCCAGAGCTCCTCACCTCTCAACATCCAATCAGATTTTCATCCTCCATTAAAGTATGAAGTTATTATTATTATTATACAGGATTTATATAGCGCCAACAGTTTGCGCAGCGCTGTACAATACAGGGAAGACATTACAATCACAATACAATTCAAAACAAGATGGTAAGGAGGGCCCTGCCCCTGAGGGCTTACAATCTAAAAGGGAGGGGCCAGTGATACATGAGGAGGGAGCTGTGTAGGGATGAATTGTTTGAGAACGGAGAACGTGATGGTTGAGCGGTTAGGTGGAGGTGGGATAGGCTTCCCTGAAGAGATGAGTCTTTATGGATGGGCAGTCCAGGTGGAAGATAGACAGACAGGTTGGGGTAAAGAGTTCCAGAAGATGGGAGAGACTCTAGTGAAGTCCTGGAGGCGAGCATGGGAGGAGTTGACAAGTGAGCTTGAATACAGGAGGTCTTGGGAGGGGCGGAGCGGACGGTTAGGGTGATACTTTGAGACGAGGTTGGAGATATAGACGGGGGCAGAGTTGAGGATGGCTTTGCAAGTCGTTGTTGATATTTTGACTTGTATCCTTTGGGCTATTGGAAGCCAGTGCAGGGATTGGAAGAGGGGAGGGAGCAGGTGAAGGAAGCCAGTGCAGGAATTGACAGAGGGGTTGAAGGATGGAAGCCAGTGCAGGAATTGACAGAGCGGGGTTGCAGGCACTGAGCGGTTGGTCAGGCGGATGAGTCTAGCAGCATAATTCATGATATACTGAAGGGGGAGGAGCCTGCGTAGAGGTCAGCCAATGAAGAGGGAGTTGCAATAGTCAAGACGAGAGATAACAAGGGAGTGGATGAGTAGTTTTGCGGTGTCAAGTGCAGGGATTGGCAGAGGAGGGCGGGTGATGGAAGGCAGTGCAGGTATTGACAGAGGGGGGTGGGAGATTGAAGCCAGTGTAGGGATTGGCAGAGGGGGGTGGGTGATAGAAGCCAGTGCAGGGATTGGCAGAGAGGGGTTGCAGACACTGAGCGGTTGGTCAGGTGGATGAGCCTAGCAGCTACATTCATGATAGACTGAAGGGGGAGGAGTCTGTGTAGTGGGAGGTCAATGAGAAGGGAGTTACAAGTTGATTGGTGGGTGTGGGGTAACAACTGCAGCTCCTATTACAGCCATGTGGACACATCAGGTCATATATGTGATGGGTGTCCAAACTATGACTGGATAAGCCGTCCAACCGGACAACTTTGGTGGTGGCCATCACCATCTGGAGATCACGATAGGTGTGATGCCATCATGGGGACTTTGCAAGGAATGGGCACTTCATGGAGTGATGAAGAGCTTGATATCTGGGAAGTCTCTGCGTGACCAGGCCGTCCCCCATCATTGAGAAGAAACTTTGCTGCGAGGTGGCACATTGGCTGCACATCTGCCATCTATGGTCGCTGTTATTTATTTATGTGGTAGTCGGTTTTGTCCGAATCCCCAAAGATAATGTAATAGAACATCTCAGTCTGAGCTTTACAAGAACAGAAACTCTGCAGCGAAGGGCCTCCTACATTCACGATTGCATCTCCTCATGAAACTTTCACAGAATCCTCAATAATTCATATTATATTGTTTCACCGGCTAAAAATAGCCGTTTTTATTTCAGCCTGAATACAGAAATCTCACAGACACAGATTCCAGAACCGCAGCGGCTTCACGCTGCTCTCTTATCTGTCCTAATCCCCGGGAACGAGGGCCCGAATTTACCACTCTGCTACCCTCCCTATAGGGACGTCTCTGTGCGTCAGGGGCCGACATACCATTCGTGTACAATGCAAGTGGGGATGAGAGGGAGGCGCTGGACCCAGTTTCCCAGGTGGTTGGTGGAGTGTCTATGTTTCGGCCCAATGGCTTGGGTTCGGGAAGTACACACAGAAACAGTCCAGGGGTCACCCGGTTCTTGAAATCTGTTTGTAGCCAAGCACTAGGGAGAACCAAAGCCACACTTCAAGAGTTCAGAACCCCACTTCAAGAGTCCAGAACCCAAGTTCAGAACCCCACTTCAAGAGTCCAGAACTATACTTCGAGAATCCAGAACCACACTTCGAGAGTCCAGAACAATACAGCAATAGTCCAGAACTACACTTCAATAGTCCTGAACCACATTTTAATAGTCCAGAACCATAATTCAATAGTCCAGAACCCCACTTCAAGAGTTCAAAACCCCACTTCAAGAGTCCAGAACTACACTTCAAGAGTCCTGAACCATACATCAATAGTCCAGAACTACACTTAAATATTTCAGAACTACATTTCAGAAGTTCAGAGTCACACTTCAAAGGTCCAGAACCAAAACCATACTTTAAGAGTCCAGTCCAGTACTTTATTAATTCTACAATTATTAGGAAGCCGATGAGAGATAGCCAACACACTTTGGGGGCCTCAACAATCCCCCTTCATCAGGGTCTATGCAGTTCCTTGCACACACTCAGAAACACGAACTCCGGAACCTGGGCTTGTGTATCAAAGCCACAAAATGGGTGGCCAATGGGTGTCATCAATAGACAGTCTTGCAGCCAGAGTTGCATTTGTGCAGACTGTGCAGCTGCACTGGGGCCCTCTGAGACTTAGGAGTCTATATACCTGATGTGGGTCAGCAGGTCCTGGGCCCCCTCTCACTAGTATCGCACACTCTTTATGTCTTAAGAGCCCCCTCAAGAGCTCTTCTTTAACATGTTTCATATATAATAATAGTGAAATTGTAATATAGTATATGTCATTTTATGTATTCTTTTATAATTAATAAGGGGGGGGGGGGGGGAGAGAGGGGGGAGAGGGGGAGGGGGGGGAGAGAGGGGGGAGAGGGGGAGGGGGGGGAGAGAGGGGGGAGAGGGGGAGGGGGGGGAGAGAGGGGGGAGAGGGGGAGGGGGGGGAGAGAGGGGGGAGAGGGGGAGGGGGGGGAGAGAGGGGGGAGAGGGGGAGGGGGGGGAGAGAGGGGGGAGAGGGGGAGGGGGGGGAGAGAGGGGGGAGAGGGGGAGGGGGGGGAGAGAGGGGGGAGAGGGGGAGGGGGGGGAGAGAGGGGGGAGAGGGGGAGGGGGGGGAGAGAGGGGGGAGAGGGGGAGGGGGGGGAGAGAGGGGGGAGAGGGGGAGGGGGGGGAGAGAGGGGGGAGAGGGGGAGGGGGGGGAGAGAGGGGGGAGAGGGGGAGGGGGGGGAGAGAGGGGGGAGAGGGGGAGGGGGGGGAGAGAGGGGGGAGAGGGAGAGGGAGAGAGAGAGGGGAGAGAGAGGAGAGAGTGAGATGGGAGAGAGATAGGGGAGAGAGAGGAGTGAGTGAGAGAGGAGAGAGATAGGGGAGAGTGAGATGGGAGAGAGATAGGGGAGAGAGAGGAGAGAGTGAGATGGGAGAGAGATAGGGGAGAGAGAGGGGAGAGAGGGAAGATACTTATTTACATATTATATTCTTATTATTTAACCTTACCCTGAAGGAAGGGACATTGTAAGACCCCCAAAATGTATAATTGTTTACATACAGCTTTCCAACACTTCTACCCAAATTTTGTAAACGT